AGGTAGGGAATGTGTGGATCGTGCGTCGTGGATCGAAAAAAACCCATCAGTATGCATATGTTGACGTCATCAAAGTGTGATTCTTGCTTTGCTGCATAGGTTCTCCAGTGCTACTAAACATGAAGTTAACGGGTACATCGTATTTCCCGTATGCACGTATCGATTTGTAAAACATCTTTGGTTGGTTATTCTACGTAGTTCCCCGTTCGGACGCTTTCAAATGCATTACGTTAGATCTCCAACCTCTGCTGTCGTCTCAGGTAATTTGGTGTTTCTTGCAAGTTATTCAATTGCTCGAAATCATACACTCGTGAATCCGAACTGGTGGGTAAGGCAACTCCACACACGACATCTGAAATTGAGAAAAAGTCTAGTGACCCCCATCAGTAGATCGCTTACCACTGTAGGGACCCTATTTCAGATGGTTAAGCAAGCAATCGAGGATTTGCTTTTGAATGATGGTTTGTCAATGGTTCCGAACTGACTGAAAACTTCAGCATTCTTCATCTGTATGTGGTCTCCTTCATACTCAGTGGTTTGTAGACGACACATGGGACGGACAAAGGCTAGTGAAAGACTTGTTAACGGTGATGGTTTAGCAAATAAAGTAGATTATCACATAAAATACCCTTGGGAAGGGAATATATAAGATACGATTTTTTCAAATGGCCCACAAAATTTCGAGCATATTAGAGGTTGATTTTCAAACTAACATTCTATCTTAATTCAAGAAAACTCGGACAGTTCCTTTGCGACTTCGCGCAGTCCAGAAGCTCCTGTTTCAAGCTTTTGCCAGCAGCGTCAGCTGAAGCACTAACCCTCATTTTGAAGGAAAAGTTTGCACGCAAAAATCTGCATGAGAGACGTAAAATAAATATGGGCTAAACGGGAATCTATCCTTTCCGTCCGGTAGGGGGACTCACGCGGCAAATTATGGTTCAGGATGAATACTATTTGGCCTCTTCATGGATTGTTTGTTTTTCGAAGAAAGTCTACCAGGGAATTAATGTGATTGCGGAGCATACGGAATTTCGCGAACTACACTCATTTGCATACCAATTTGGTTTTGACGAGAGACTCACCTGGAACCCAGCTGAATCTCTCGTTTATGATTTTTTTAAGCAACTGGATGTACTGCACCGGGTAGCATCATGTTTCGGTTGGCACGATATTCGCGATATGGCGATACATGTAGAACAAGTAGAACATAAGGTTGACGAAAACTTGAGGCTGATGAGCCCCAAGAAGGGCGAGACCGGTGGTGGGGCCGCCAAAAGTTTTCAGCAACCTTGGGAGTAGCGCATTACGTCCATACAGCGTTTTCGTTCTTACCTCATTGATAGTCCTATGGCTTGTTTCACTCCAATTGTATTAATGGGCTTTCGTTTTTGCTCACTTATCCCATGGTCGTACCCGACCCTACGAATGAACTGACCTCACAAGGTATACTTACTTCGGGAACGCCAAGAACTGGCAAATACTTTTCTGAATGTATCACTGCTATCACCGGTGCATTCATCAACGGAAGCTCACACTTGCTAACATGTTTTAAATGAAACTGAAAAAAAGTCAACCGAAAGCGTTTGAGAACGCCAGATTTCTATTGTCGGAGCAGAATTTCTAGTTTTCATCCTTAATCGAACATGTTACGTTGTATCCTCGTGGGATGTGTTGGTGTGGTGGTGGGATATGATGGTTCTTTGAATTTGTGATTGCTGATTTGCAACCAAGCTGAGGGAATTGTCGAATAATTTCAATCCACCATTACCTGCCCTCCCTAAACTACCCACCTAAAAACCTAAAATCCCCTCCATAATTCTATCCAACCCAATCTGGTGGAGTAGCAATTGCATATGTGGAACCCAGAGTGTTACAACGATGTCAAAGTTTGGTGTTGATAAATGGACCTCTGCATCAAACAGGCCGGTATGAACCGCCTCCTCACAGCGCGCTACGTATTGAGTGCCCTGGAGTTGAACAGTTCTGGGATGGATGAGTTTCTCGTGCAGTAAACTAAATTATTGACATGTGTGACTAATAAGTTACCTGCTCTATTTGCCAGAAGAGATGCACCTATCTCAAGGTTTGGTGGTCTTCGTTTGAAGCTGGTCTTCGAAATAACGTTTTCTACCTAATCAAAGAGAGAGGGCTACTTATAGGCTGGTGGAAACACCGGATCAGCAACGCTGAAGTACGTCAAATGGGGTTCAGGAGAAATAACTCACCTTCGATAGATGAACTGATCACACTGCGTAGGTTGCGTTGGCTTGGCCACGAGCTGCGTATGACAGCCGACCGACTCTTTTCGCAAAACCACGTGAAGGGTGGAAGAGAGCCAGAGGTGGTCAAACAATGACTTGGCAGTGAAGTATAAAAGCCATTACCAGCAAACTCAGCTGCGCCGGTCATTGCCTTCTTCCTGGATAGGGATCCCGAGATGGTCCACATCAATGGTTAGAAACATTGTCAGACATGGACCAGTCACGCCCTCAATCGCGCTCGTGCATCCAAGCTAATGCATTCAATGCATAGCTCCTTTTCCACCCCCCTACTTGACAGCTCACTGGCAGTGCTGGATTTATGCACCAATTTATCATCTCCCGCCCGCAATGCGCAGCTACCTACCCCACCTTCCCAAATCATCGATGAACGAAACTGCGGCAGCTACGACCACTGCACGACAAGTATGCGGTTATTGCAGCTGACAATGATGATGATGATGATCCATGCCGTTACATTTACTTAAAAAGGTTGCCGTCGGTTCCGCAAGAGCCCAATTAAACCAGGCCACTCACCCTCATTAGGGCTAGTCGGATGGATATCAAGAGGGTGAGCTCGTGGCTATTTGTGCAGCCCCTATAGAAGTTCCTGGACATTTTTAAATGGTTTCACCGTGCTGGTAAAGCGAGAAGCGCTGCGCAGCGTTTTCATCCTCATGAGGACTCGTCAACAGTGCGCGTCTCACGAATCTCCAGCGAGCCCAGAACTCGCCACCTCTTGGCTAGTAGCTTGGACACGTAAACAATCGGGCACGAGCTACCTGAGGATTTACATATTGTCGCCTGGCAGATAGATCTATTAGGAATCAAATGAACATATCGAGTCAGCACGGGGAAAACAGAGCGACCATGTTTTCACCGTAGCCTGTATATGGCGCGGAGTATCCGGCGTTCTTATCTGTTGAATACCAAACACGACCAGAACAATGAGGGGGAAGTTACGGGAGCGTGCCACTCGATTCATACCTTGAGGAAAGGTCATGTAACTGCATGTGATGCTTTCGCAAAAACAAGTGGGTGCGTCGGCCCGCACAATCAGATATCGCTTAGACTGCACAGAGGTGACTGAAAACAGTGGTAGTTGACATGACAAGTACTGGTAGAATCACCAAAAATCCACGAAGTAGGCCAGTGTATGGATCGTCGCAGTCGTTCTAACTCTCTGGAAGTGGCATATATTAGGCAAAATAGATAGCCACATATATGATGAAGCAGTCTTCTGTTCTCTTGAGAATAAGGCTTCTATCGGATAGGTTATACCTCAGCAAAGGGAAGCCGTGCTGATGTCGCCAGTGATTCAAACACTAGTTAGGATTCAAGTGGCGGAATAGTCGAATTTTATCGTTTGAATATACAGCGTCACTGATGCAATACGATCACAGCTGCTCCAGTGTAAGTGATGGAAGCAAATGGTGAAGATGAGGCGAGCCTCATGCCTCCAAACTCCCCCGCTCTCAGAAACACCTGCTGCCTTGGCTATACCCAAACCTAAAATCATCATTAGTAAATGAGACCAATTTCAGGCGTAGGTGGTAGATTGACATCAGTATGTTGACACAATAAGGCAAAATGGCTAAGGTGGTATACATGAAATGCAGAGGTGGCTGTCGCAATACCTCTTAGTGACGAGGTGGGAACAGACTCGGGAAATGTGGCTTCATGTGTTGTTTACCGATTCCAATCCGTTACCTTTCTGGAGGATGGGGCTTCCCGAAGATCGAATAAATTCAGGAGTCCAAGATTCAGGAATTCGGATTCTTCTCGCACTGGTGATGAGCGAATGTTAATGAATCGACTGGCTTATTGACAGAGGTTCACTCTGTCCACATTGCTAGAAGGAATCATAAAAGTCCCTGATGTGTGAAGGGTGACGCGGAACTGTCCGCATTAGCGGGTAGGAGTCGACTTCGATGATCCGTGAACTGCCGTGTGCAGTACGATTATCCGGGTTTGCACCGAGAAACTCAAAGTGCCATTGACAGACTGTATCTATCTCTTCGTCATCTTGAATGTTCAAACGATTTGCAGAAAAATTCGACGAGCCCTTCAAAGAAACAAGGAGATATTTGTCAAACACTTAGTTATGGATTTTGACATCAGAACACACTGTGGGGTGTTTTCATTTCACACAATCCCAGTCGCAAACGTGTGACTACGGACGAATACATAGTTTCTGTTGGAAACTCCAAAATGAGAGGGGGAGAGGTTACCAAACACTAAACATGACGCAACGTCATAGTCAAGTCTTTTCTATCAGACAAGTTCAATTTTTGTCTGGTTGTGACTGCGACCTCAAGGAAAGTCAATAACTGGGCCGACAACTTATGTTGATCGCTTTAGAGGAAAACTTGGTACTAATTATGTGACCAAAGTGAATCAGGTGCATGTCAATCGAGGAAGCTGGATTGCGATCGGTTCCTAGCAGCCTCGTTTTGGTCTGGTCCGTCAAAGGCAAGATATATTGAGGCATATGTTCTTTGTAGACTTTCCAAGCCTGCGCCCAGTTCTACCAAAGTAACCATCATGCAATCAGATTTGAAGGAATAAGTACAATTTAATGCTAAGATTACTTATCGAATCGTTCTGATCGACATGTTTACCATAGCAATCTTAATTGCGCCTTGTGTTAATTCCGCTAGTCACTTGATTGATATCGACTCTTCCTTTAAAGTGACCATGGTAGGTTGTATACGAATGCCGAGTCTATGTTCTAAAGGACTTAACTGTCATGTAGCGTTTGCTTTGGTCCACGNGTCATGTAGCCTTTGCTTTGGTCCACGTGACTGAGGCTTAGACTGTCTTGTAATCTCAGTCCCTCACTTGAATTTCCAACAGAATGCTGTATGTACGTAGGCATTTCACATGTCACGTCTGTGGTTGATAAGAGCTTTTGAAATGGCACCATTCCACAGAAATTTTCCTCCTCTGATATCGGTACTGGAATTCTATTCCCTTTTTTTGAGAAGCACGTCAAAGGACAAATTTGTCAGTCACTGTCACACTCACTCCTCTCCGTAGGGTGCAATCCGTTGCCTCGGACTGTTCTCCTTCTCAGTCGGAAGCTTATACGCGATTCCTGAAGTGGTGAACACTGTGCCTACTAATGAGTAGTCCGGAAAACATCTGCTCTAATATCAGATACGGAAAACACCCGCTTAAGGAGTTGTCAGTTGATGGGGGTTATCTTCACACACCTGTGTTCAGGATTTTCAGGGTAATGAAACCACCATTCTTCTTCCACATGTCGGTGTTTCATCATCATCGAAGCAGTAAGAAGACAGGTTACTTTCAGTCACTTTCTTCAGTCGCGGACGCACATTAGCTTCAAAGATGAAAGATATGGTAAGAAAAATGAACCGTCGAAGGTTACTCTAGATCTTATGGAAAAAGTTGGAACAGGGCCGGTTGCATGGTACTCGAATCAGTACGTTCGTGTGCACTGTTGGTCGTGTCCGGATTAACATCGCTTCGCAAGAGCCTTCAGATTTCGATTTCAAAGCGGGATCGCGAGGAACTGAAGAGTCAAACTACTCAACCTGTTTCAGCCACGTATTGTACAATCTGTTTCCTGATAGTCATGTGTAATTGACATGTGGGCTCTTCCAACTTCACGGCTCGCGCGAACACCGCTCTTCTTCAGACAACGGTGCGAACTGCTATACCAGACCTATCCACCCTTACAGCTGCAATCGCCTGTCGTAATCCAAGTAACATGGACCTCAGCTGGGTTTTTTTAACCCGAGACGCAGAGTTGGTCATCCTAATGTCTGTATGTAGTATTCAAAAGTCGTGCAAGAAATTTTTTTCTCGGTTGGTTCTTTACTCACGATGCCTTACTCTGTTGATAGCCAATGTTATCCATACAATGAAACACCAAATCTGGACTTTGGTCTTACAGTCAGCACTTATGTCCCTCTCCCAGAACGTGACAGCTAGTTTCAAAGGCTTCTCATTGAATTTCACCATTCTGGCTTTCTACGCCTTCATAGGTTCTCTTGAAGGCAAGCACACTGGAGCACAGTAGGTTTATGGTTGTGCGGTAACCTTGATATGCCTGCGGTAGCTGGTGCCTGAGACGCTTGATTAATACAAACTATCAGAGCAAAATACCGGGTGATCAAAGCGACGCCCACTACTGATATCATTCATTTTAGTGCACATATGGTAGCGGGAGATAGCTCAGTGGTTAGGATGCGTACTTACTGACAGGAAGATCCATTGTTTGGATCAAACCTCTGCATCTCGACCGCTCCTGTCTGGGCTTGGGCAATCTGGTAGTATCTCGGCCCTCGTGCTTATTTTGGATGCAGTCGCATCTAGGCGTGATTTTTATTAGTGGAACACGTATGGTGGTTATCATCAGCCGGAGAAGCGGAGTTTTGTCACATGACAGTAACACTCTTTTAATTGTACTGGTACTGCGATATGCAAGCTTTCATATGCGCCACAAATTCATACGCATGCCACTTGGCTGATGTTTGTCGCTCTGATCAAAGCGACAACCCGGCCGCTTCTGTAAGCACATCATTCGGAGCCGAAGTGTAAGCTCTTCGTCAAGCTTTCCTATTTTGAATGCATGGATTCAAAAGCATTCCGAACACACCAACTACAACTGTTCGATGGGAACCAGAGATGAGAATATGCGAGATTTGCCGGAATTCTTTAAAATACTGAACATAATACTGAGAGCCAATCTAGCTTGAAAATTCTGCATCAACTGTGGCCAGCCCCACTAAGCTGAATCTGGTACAATACGCAACTAACCGTAAATTCCCAAAGGTCACGATCACAACTTAGCTACGTGAATTTCCAGTATCCGAAGGTAATGAACCCATTTCAGATTAAATACCCCAGAATGTTTCGTGAGAGTGGACCGTCTAGACGCTACTCCACTTCTCCCCAAGGTCGATTATCTACCGTACGGGAATTTTCAGTGGATCGAACCGGTTTCCTTTCGCTCAATATTCTGTCAAAGTCAAGGATGAACATGTGAGTCTTTTGAAGTAGCTGCGTAAACTAAGGACGCAGCTTGAAACGGGAAGTGAAACATAAGTTCAACTCCTAGAAATCATGTATTTAAACTGTTTACCGTCGACGATATTCCTGAATTCTGGTCCACACAACTCACCCAAATTCTTAATCAAACCTACTCACTAGTAAGGCCTATATCTACTATCATTTCCACCTTCCAGACAAATGTCCTCATCAGAGTTTTGGTTTAAGCACCGTTGCTTTTGAGTTGCTAGCAGCTACCATCCTGCGCAGGTCCACCAGTACTCACAGAAAGCAGTGTTGCGGTTGGTGTCCTCACGTCTCCATAAAGCTGTTCGTTATGGCTTACTCTTATCACGTTTGCTACTCAATTTCCCATTTAGCTTGATTGTAGAAGAAACCCTTGCTGTGTTTAATGCTACCGATATGAAACATATTATTTGGGAAAACTTTGAAGACCTTGAGTACACAGACTATGTCATACCGTTTCCAGACGTTGGACGGCCGCATGTGGACGAAGTGAATCACAGGACTCTTAAAGCCTGTTCCGGTTTTCTTCAGCGTCGTGACCTGTGAGACCGACATGTTAGCACGTCGGTGGACGGAACGGTCCACGGTGCTGTCGTGCATCCCGTATTATATTACGGTTGTGAAGCCTGGCTAGTGTTTGCGATAGCAATTAAAAACATGGGACAAAAGTATCCTGTGGCATTATCTTGTGCGGTCAGACTCAGTATCGGAGGTTGTACACTCGTGCGAGTGGATGCATTGGGGTCACTCCTCTATATAACCACAGGTGCTGAAACAGCGTCAGTCGTTTCTACAAAACTTCAACCTCTTTTGGACGCGCAGACTAACTAACGGTAATTGCCAGTTCCTCGCAAACGACGTGTCTTATCTGACTGGTGTTCGTTGCTGAGAACTCTTGTGCAAACTCTCTTAGACAATACACGCCCAGCTTTCATCTCAATTCAGAAAGCTAACACAACTCAGTTGTCCAAACCGGTCTTTGACACATCTGGAATCGATATTCACCCAAGACGTTTGCATATAAACACTAATTACGCGGAGACATGGCCCCACATAGGTAGTCCCCCACAGAGATGCAGGCAATATAAGCGCCAGGATTTGGCATGCATTTCATATGGCAGCCCAGCGAAACTGTGGTCAGAAGACACCTAGTTGGGCACTGTAATACATTTGAAACACTAACTCACTCTTCTGCCACGAAACGGTACGTAATGCATCTCATCTTGTTATGTTCGTCTACAGCTTTGCCATTGCGACCAAACGTATATGACCTTGAGACAGTTTGGTGATTAAAGAGCGAGGCTAATGGCCGAAAATGTGGTTCGAATCTAACTCTGGCTTCTTGATCACGCCTGTCCAGACCTGGGCATCGGGGCAATATCTCAACCCCCATGCTGCCTTCAGGTTACATGGCAACTATGTACCGTTCGATTGGTTTTACAAGTTCTAAAAGCTTCCGAAGAACGTCAGCACCGAAGTGTGTAAGCCCGGGGTAGCAACACTCAACCGCGTTCGGTTGAAGGCTCCAAAACGGCACAAAATGATGGTTGGAGACGCCACACTTTCAATGCATCGCTGTTCCCAACCCTACCACAAGAAGCTGGTTCCTAATTTTGAACTTACAACCAACACCATCCATGATGAATTGCTCAAAGTGCGTGGATACCAGCTATCATGAAGAACTATGAAGACTGTCTGTGATCACTGTAACTTGAACTGCTAGTTATAACCGCTAGAGGGAAATGAAGTCGCAAATGGTATACCAATTTCTTCAGTCTACGTTTCTAACTGTTGATTATTGCCGAGTTCTATGCATCACGTTTCAGCTGCGGGAAACATTGGCTGTAAAGCTACGAGCCTGCATGGTTCAGCTGAAGAAAGTGAGGAGTAGCAGCATCACCATTGTGTCACTTCCTCAAATCTTGACGGAATTATTTAAGGATGATGAAGTTGATCAGTAAAACGGGGGGCCAGATGTGTTGCTTCTTACTTACAAGGAACGCTGGGCTACAAAAAAAGAATGATACATCACTGCCAACATAAATTTCGCTGCCTTTAATGAATATGATGATAACATGGGCAACCGGGTAGACAGAATCGCGCCAGTGCCTTTTTGTTTTCACTTCATGATCAGCATTTGATAAGTGTACTGGCTGTGCTGCACGCAGAAATTCCAGATAAACGCATGCGTTTTACAGTTCATTCAAGGTTTCTTATAGATGAATTCACCTTTGGGTTCGAACAACCTTTCTTGATCCACTCTAGCACACGACAGCCATTGTTCGTCTTTTGGAATAATTTACAGTATTCACAAGCCACCGACGAATGAAGTATACACCCACTAGCCCAATTAACTGGGGTACATTCACTAGCCTCAGACGAATTGCAAACTAGGTGTTTCTTTCCGTTGTTTATACCAGACTCCGCCAGCGTCACATATAAAAACAAACCAATGAAGTTGGTCTTCACTTCAGTCCGTAATACAACATCCTCAATTGCCTAACTATCCGATAAGCTATATCGGTTTCATCGCCTTTTCGTCCATATTTCCAGGGGACTCCGACCAATAAACGACCGGCAACGGAAGTGGATGCCACTACCCGAGGTCCTGCGGACAAATACACCCGAACAGACAGTGGTAATCGACAAAGTAGGCATTCTGTTTTTACCTGGAAGCTCCATTTCAGAACCCGTGCTAAACACCATGTTGCGAGCAGCAGCTCGGTACTATGCCACGCTGACCGGGAAGCCCGTATCTACCGAAGAGGACGAATTCCAAACAACTATCGAACATTGTCCGGAAGGACAATCATCACTAGAAAACTATGGATTTCAAATCACGAAACGACGACCGATGGATTAGGGAAAAGGCAGAGACGAGTACAATAGCAAAGGTGAGATTATTGCTGAGGTACTTTGCAGTATGGGGCGAACACAGGTGGTGATGGTGTGTGTGTGTGTGTCGGCGCCTACGCCAACAGGTCGTGTTCACAATTTTTTCGGGGATTAAAGGGCTGTAGTCTGAGGCTTAGTCATCATTTTCTGGATTGAAATAAAAGAAATGCAGCACACAGAACAAGGGAACAACCAATCAAATCGAAGCAAAAATATGAATTATGTCAGTCAGACACATCCAGCTAAAGTACAAAAAATAAAAGGTCAAAAGTAGGTGCTTCCGAGAATGGATAAGTTAATAAGAACAATGGCAGCGGGAAATTAGTTGATCTGATGTGTTTTTCAGATCCCCAGGCGTGTTCGACGGCGCGCAGGCGTGGAAGCAACCGTTCGACCAATCACAGGGAAAACAGATGAATAAAAATACAGTGCTGTGAAAAGCAGCGATGGAATACTGATGATGAACGTATTGCACGTTGGTTGTTGCGATACCGGGACGAACGGTTGTTCAGGCTCAGAGGGTCCATTTTCACCTCAGTAGTATTCCTCGTCTTCTTCATTGATGGCATTGGTTGGCGCACCGGAACAGACCGGATTGTATTGCACTTTCTGGGTGGGCACATCTGATTGCCTGGACTGCTCCCATTTGGCTGAAGGTTCCGCTGGTTTACTGGGTGATGTAGCTTTCGGCGCATTGTTCGACGGGACGAGTCGTCCGACTGACTTATTTGTCGTTATCGTTGTCGTGTCGGTGGGCCCACTAGTTGCCACGTGAGCGTCGGTTGTGGGCCGCGCCTGTTGACCCGAGCTAATGTGTCTGTCCTGATCTATCGGCACAAACTGGAAGTGGTCACGCTTTGGGAGGGATGTTTGGCGCTGATAGCTATCGTCCGAACGTGATCGGCTGATCGGTTGCGTTGAAAAAAGCAATTTATCTACGACTTTGGGACAGAACAAGAAAAGAAGGGATGGTGTCAAGTGTAGGTGTCATCGGTATTTGTGCACCAGTTAGATTGTAGAAAAAGCTATCGCGATATTTCGGCGAGTTAGACACGACGGGTGCGACTCAAATAAATCTCTTCACAAAACCAACGAACATTTCATCTCAGACACTCGCAGTCTACCGCAAGGCTGAGAAAAACCGAACAGTCGCTTTCGGAGAATTCGCAGGTCAATCAGCCTGTTTTCTTCGTCAGGATAAAGATAATAATAGATAATCGTTCAGCTGTAACACCCTCATGCCACCCGAAGTAAGCACGAGGGCTGGAATACTGTTAGGTTGACCAAGCCTAGACAGAGGAAGTCAAGATGCAGAGGTCGGGTTCAAACCACGGACCATACGGTCAGTAAATTCGCGCTCTAATCACCGAGCCATCCCACCCCTTCTCCGTCAGGAGGTGAAAGACAGCCACGGAACTTGCATCGCATGAGCACTGAAAAACTATTTGGAGCATTGGACTGAGGCCCTATCACGTGGTCCCTACGTCGACAGCAATGACTAAGCATCGAGGTAAACTTGAATCACAGACCCCTCGATTGGTAGAGCGTGCCATAACCTCTGGGTCAGGCACGCTATTCAACGACGTTACAAAAGAGCTGGTGGTCAGAAATAGTAGGCAAGGTTCGAACAACCGACATTGGTGCCGATAAGTGAGGTAACTCTATTCATAATGAAAACAAGTAGCGAATTAAGAGTCCATTGCATACCCTCAGAATGCTTTCATTATGAATCGCTATTTGTGACAAATAGATGTACCAGTGTCACGGTCCTTTATCCGCAACACGTTTGGCATCGATAAACACAGAAAGCTTCAAAAACAAAGTTTACGGAGCGGGCAGAGCGGTTGAGGAATGACAAACGAGATGGACAGGCGTAAATGGCTCATACAGCAAGGTGCATCGATTGGCATCGGTATAAGAAAGCAGTGCCACGTGTCATGGATGAGCATTATGCCTCAGGTCTCTTTCTTCGATCGACTTATTTGAACTTCATTATTAATCTTAAAGGACCCGTTTGGTTTCACCTCGTTCCAGATAAGTGTTCGATGTCTTCGGGAAAATTTGATAACAATCGGCATATTTATTGCCAGGTAACGTTTCGTTTTTGACACAAAGGCTTCCTCAGGCCAAGTGACTAGGTTAAGAGGTTGGTCGAGATTTAAGGGGGAAGGAGAACCAATCAGCTTAGTCAAGCTAAATCTGTGTTAGGTGTCGCTGATGATTTATCAATTGAAGCGTCTTGAAGTGGAATTCTAAGGAAGCAAATCCGATCGGAACTAATTGCAAATTCCCCCAACCTATCAACGCAAGATTTTGGCAACCGCACTAACCGACGAGAGCCGCTAATTGACACTGAACACTGATCTAGTGCGTTGGTATGATGTCTCATTGATTGGTTCTCCGTCTGCCTTAAAACCTGGCCAACTTGGTGACCTGCTCACTTGTCCTGAAGAAGCTCTTGTGTCAAAAAAGAAACGTTAAAAACTGTCGATTATTTACCAAGCTCTTGTGAAAAGACTGCGTAACATGCTTTTGCTTTGCTTCTCAGGCACCAAAACACATTTTTGTTCGATCTTTTGGGTCTAAACATAAACGTTTCTCACTCAAATCTCTTATTGGTTATTCGAATGCATTTTACACAGCGCGCAACTTTCCTTACTTTCCACGAGGAGTAACATGAAATGGCCTTCATTTTTTGGACAACACTTTTGAAAGGAGCGTTTTCGGAAAGCCATAAGAAGGAAGGAATAATTAGTGCTATGACAATTTGGTTGGATACGAGAGGGATTATGCGGCTGGGACTATGAGCTTAACAAGTCAGCTGATTTAAAATCGCTTTTCACAAGCCCTTATTTACACTAGAATGCTTGGCGATTTCCACAGTCTCGCGTTAATCGTAGTCGTCACCTCAAAACATCGGCATTTTCTACATCTAATTCGTGTCCTGCATTCAGAACATGTCCTGCCATTGTTGAGCCTTTGACTGGCGGTCGAGATTCACCTGCGATCCTTGGTAGTCTGTTTACTCTTGTGCTTGCCAATTCTGATGTGAATATCCATGACAGTTTCTCCCACGTAGGCCGTATTAGTGTAAGTAACTGAATTCGATTGTGTTAATATGTGCTCCGGTTCTATCGATGAGGCTTCAACACATGAAGGTCCTTTCTAAAACCGGCATGAAAATATGCTTCGATCCGGAGTTAGCCCGTAAAAAAACCTACTTTTCAGTTGTTCATTGATAGTATGCATGTTCTCCAACGCGTCGTTCAGTGCGTACTTGGTAGATGTTGGCACACTATCTGTGGAACTTGTTCTGGAGCCGCGACCATCCGCTCGAGCTTGTACCGTCACGTTGGATTGTTGTGAACTGAGATAAATGAGACCAAGAGGGGAAAATAGCTCATTTAGGACACCATCACGTGCAAACCGAGTGCAGAGAAAGAGGTGTTCACTCCCGTTTCCACGCGATATCTCCATTTCAAGTTACGTATTTCTGTTTAGACTCATGGACCTTCTGTGATCACCGTATACCACCACTAGAAACATACGAAACTATCTGTCTGCTTATGGGTCGATCCAATTACCATGCACTGGGCGTGACATTTAATCAGATCATCCACCAGGATTGATGACAATTCACCGGTAGTCTGACGACTGTCTGAATCAGTTTGTAGCTGGTAAGACCTAGAATCGAACTAACCATCTACCCAAAGTGGTCGGCGGACGCATCTATAAATAAACTGCGACGGACAAACAAAAGGTTACGCGTTCATATATAATGAGTACCACCAAGACGAAAGCGATCATGTGGTTCAGTTTTTCGAAAAAATCCGTGAGTATTGTCAAATCCCGGATATACCCTGATCTTTGAGGACAAGCCAGAGAGGTGAGCTGAGGATCCGAAGTGTCCTGTGTCTCAGTCCTTCACAGAGTGTTGTTTAGCTTTTCTCGACCATCGATTGCGTATTTAAACGCAGTTACATGTTTGATTTCTTCATCTACAGTGGGGCCGCATAGGCACAATCGAAAACTTGCTGTTCACAATATTAACTTCTGGTCCTACGGGTGTTGTGAACTGAGCTAAATTGTCCGTATCGTCAGTGAACATCGTTCACAACTGTTAATATGTATGTGTAGTTTCCAACAGACACAGATAGAAAACTGCATAGTTGCACTCATTACACTCACCTGACTTGCCTCACCAATCGGTCGGAACATTCGCGTAACTTGAAAGACAATTGCCGAATCGAGTCAACCATCAAAGAGTAGTACATCTGTGACAGGTAAAAAAAAGCCATACAGTTAAAGCCTGTCTGGACTTTCGGATACAATAAAAAATGGTACCGTTGTGAATATCATGGAGTAAATTTATTTGAGATAACAACCCAAACCCTACTGAACACGGCTAGCTCATTCACAGCCGGTGAGCTAAAATAGCCTTGTTTAGTTGGAACGTAAACCAGTGTACATGTGTTGGGAGTGATAGTGGAACACAGCTTTTCCCTGCAGAGATCATATTTTTTGGAATAAGTGTGAAGAACTGGATGTACTTGGTCGCTCTGTTTGCAGTAGTAGCTTCTGGACACATGCGACATTTCCGCGAGACCTGTAGCGCACCAATAAGAATGCGGGGTTATGCTTACCGCGGAATCGTTCGAATCTCCCAGTTCCGTCCGAAAGCTTGCAGGAACGCCAGACGTTTCGGATGTATCCATTTCTGTTTTGTACGTTTGGTCAAACGCTTCTGCCGTGCCACCTAAGTTGTAAGATGGGTTGTGTGGGGCAGATAGTCTTTGATTCCTTGCGCCAGAACGGAGCGGAATTGGTGTCACGAAAGCTGACCTCACCGGTTCGTTGACGGCTGGGCCGGTCGTACTATCCGGCAAATCAGAAGTGGTTTTCTCAGGAAGGCAGTAGGCGGTTGATGGAGACCGGTGATCGATGCTTGTGAACTCCTTACCATTTTGTGACCGCAAGAGCTTTGAAACAGTAAGATGGACAACACAGATAGACGGTTAGCATTGTTGCTGAAAACTCACCCACTAGGTGCATAAGGCTTTCCTCAAATTGATTCGATTGCACAAAAGTACTTAACTAACTGAGGAGAAATCTATTTTGATCGAACGTCGATAATCGGGACGATTCCTGCGTAGGAAACAGTGCGACACCCTAAAACCGGGACTACCATGCGTAACCGCCTCACCAAGTGAAGTTTCAATACGGAGTCGTGCAGATAAGTTTTCGCCTGAGCGTGATCTTATGGAAAATTAACAAAGTATGGAATTTGCTAACAAATGTTACGTGGAGATTTCGTCCTGTAAGTGAAGCCAATCTATGCTGAAAATCCGAGAAGCACTGTAAAGCTGTTTCAACCTTATTGGGAATCATCAGCAGTGCGCATCTCACGAAACTCCGGAGAGTCTCGAACCCGCGACCTCCTGGCTAGCAGTTTGAACACAACCGTTCGGCCACGGGCGGCTGATCAGTAGTGTGATTAACAAATGTTATATCCAAAGAATACATAGCTCAGTATAATCCTACAGTATGAGTCTGTCCTAAATCTACGCTTAAAACGTGTTTTCCATATGTATTTTCATGGTTCGAAGATCATTTGCCATTTAGGCACTAGCTCATCCATCCACACGACGAACTGCGTAAAATCCGAGGTTTTGCTGGTTGTCTCGAGTTCAGTACTATACAATTAAGAGAATGACACTAGAGGAGTGGTTGTCCTGGTATTCTTAAGCCACGCATAGTAACTTGTTCAAACTACAGTCTCGTCCGTGGTGTCCTTCCGAAACAAGGAGCCTTGAGTTACCAGCTCAGAGGTGGGGACGAATATTCCCCTGGTCACACGGGTCTTCCATCTGAGAAGCCTAACCCTTATTATCCAATAGTGGCAGGATGGTACTGCCATGTCCTACTCGCAGTTTATTCACGTGGATAATCGGCCGCCAGATGCCAGATGACATCACATGCAACTACTAACCGCATGGTCGGGGATTCGAACCTCTATGGGTTCACAGTGCTGATACTTCTCAACAAAACGGCTATACAGGGCTTCTTGGCCTTACAGTATGGCTTTGCTCTACGTGCCAGATGGGATCCCAGTATAAAAAACGGTAGAACACCTTATCGTTGTACATAAAATCAATGGGTAACAGTTATTGTCTTGTTTTTATCCCTTTGACATTTCAGAGTTCGCAGATGCACACATTGCGCGAAAAAGTGCAGTGCCCCATGCAATACAATAACAGAACTTACTGTGGGTTCTGGATATTTTGTTTCTCTTCTATATGTGGACTTATCAATACATTTATTTGAGTCGAGTTTTTCATTGCATAGCGACAAAAACAGTGCAGCACATGTTCGGCTACAAATTCTGTCAAACTACAGTGGTTCCAGAGGACACGATTTCGTTTAGAACGGACATGAATGAATACAGGGGCGACGGCTCAATCGGTTTACTAGCGCTAACTTGTTAATCTCTGACTGAGTATCGTGTAGAAAAGCTACATATCGATTGCTTTGTTTCGGGACCACCAGTGGCTCTGTGACCGAGACATATCCGTCAAGCTCACCAAGCGTTTGCGTGTCTTGTCCTGGGATCGCCATCCAAAGAGACGGTGGTTACTCAAACGATAATCAAGGACTTTCATACCTTCCCATTGTCCCAGACCACCTGCTTCGGAGTCGTTTTCAATCCTACACAGGGCTAGGCGAAAAAAGCTCCACTGTTCAGCTAAAAAGCTAGTGCATGTCATATAAATGGCAGGAAGTACCTGGTGTAAGATATTGCCATTCAGAGCACCAGAGCAGCCGTCTGCAGGAAACATGATTTGCGGTAGCACGGATAGGATAGGATGAACGGGATAGTTGGAACATCGATTGGATAGCACTACATGCCGGATAACTTTGCCTACAGGACTACTCGTGAAATGGAACGTGGTCCACTAGCGTAAGGTCGACCGAATATGGCTCACAAGGTTTCTAAAGTTGTAAGAGTCGCAGCTTCCACTATGGAAAGAAAAATGTTTCTCAAGACTTACCGAAGTTTTAGTCAGACTGTCAATTCCTTGCGAGATCGCAGAAATGCTTGTAATCCAGGCATTGTATGCTTCGGAATCCACAACAGGGACTGAAAAAAATTACGAAAATTGCCTGGTCGGAAGGACAAGAACCAAACTTCAGCGAACTGGGGAGCGAAATTCTCAGAACCTAATAAAGTCTCTATTACACACCAAAGGGATACCACACAAGATGGAGTGATTCAGTCACATCCTCAGTACAAACAGAGTATGGTGATAGGTCACGAATACGATGGAAATTGGTCTTGAATGATCGCTCGTGCGGTGTACATCGTTGCCTCCGACTTGATTGAACAAACACGAGAGAACCAACTAAAAAACATGGAGTGGAGTGCCGCAGAAGTCCTTCGTAAGTTTGGCGGTGTATCCCAACCCAGATAATGTGGGAGGTCGACTGGCTGCCATACATGAACCCGGGTGACTAATCTAGAAGCTATCAACCATAGCAACAAAAAATAAATCAAACATCTAACTTCTACCTGGCTTTGGTGTATTTTTACGTCTGGTGAAAGTCCGGGAGTCGATTTCCTGCGATCCTCCAATGACTTCATCAGCCATAACTGGGTCGTTTGGGGTTGCTCTGTTCAGAACGGGCTGGCAAGGGATGTGTAGGTTGGGATCACTGAAACAGAGACCAGAAACACAACTACAACACATACATAATGCATTCACGCAGTAGTGAAGGTTACCAACTCTATTTAGTAGAGCTATCTAAGGAAGCTGGGGAAGTTATTCCACATGAGTTTCCGTTCTACACACAGCCTGCTAGAAATGTGCCACCACAAGCGAGGACTTTTGTCTTAATGGAGGTAGTTTTATGATAGAATTAGTCACCTCTGGAAAAGTTGAAAGACTCTGAATAAGCGGACGAAGTCCCTAAGGTGAGACTGTGGAGAAATCTAGTTGTGTTGCAAAGGAAATCAGCTCCAGATTTCATTATTACCGAATCCAGCACCAAGGACACACAGAACGGGGTACTCCCACAGTCAAGCGGATCTAAATAGCACCAATGTTTGGGAAAACTCCACTTACTACCCAACACCCATATTTACGCTGGTATACCTCGGCCCTTCAAGCAGTGCTTTTATGCAAGGCAGTCAAATCACTAGCTCACTGAGTAAGACAAGGGATACACCTTCCCGTTGGGACTCACAGAACGGCTGGCTGAAGTACCAACATGGACTACGTGGTTCTAGACATGCTTAGCCGATTAATCGAGAAGAACGGAACAGCGAGAATAGCCTGAGAAAGAGTTGTTTCACTGAAGCCAACAATGAACACGGTGGGCACCCATAAAGCGCATTCAAAAAAGAAATATATACAAATGACGTTGTAGATTTTTCACACAAATAGGGAGCTTCGTTGTGGGGTACGTATTGCTCTTACTCCCCAACCGGTATAGGAGGCACTCATACAAAGAATCCACGGTGATCTCCCCAAGAAGACGCGGAAGAGGTGATCAGGTACCAATTCAAGGGAGGCGTAGTTCCGCGACCCGAAGGCCTAATATTCCGAATATTGTAATAATCACATTCAATATGCTTATCAGTCTTGTGCACTCCTAACCAAATCCTCAGTTCTAAAACCTGTATTTTTTAAGGTTTGTTGAAGTGTGGTAACAACGTCCTATTGGGATTAGAAATGAGAAGCCAACCAAACTTACTTATAAAGAATGTTCTTATCACCCGAGACTGTTCGCACTCGGTTAAGGGATGGTTGGCCCACGCGCGTTCTAGTGAATGTCTCAGTCCCATACGGAAACGGAACACCATGGTCCTGTGCCCACACGTCCCTTGGGACAGACTGCAGCAAACTGGAGTTCGTTGGTGAAGCCGGTTCCGGTACAGAGGAGGAACCCGTGCGAGATTTTAGATGACACCCGTTGGCCGCATTGAGAGAGGTTCCGAAACTAGTAACATCCTGCAGAGTTGCAGAAGGGAGTTTACCACTCATAATTTTAGCTCAAATGGGTGAATGGATACAATCGCTCTGGTACAGTAAGCCAATTAATTGATCAAGGTTACCGAAGGGGTCATCTAGAAAGGGTGGGCCAAGACAGGATGAAACCAACACAGAAGACATTTCACGCAAACGTGAAGGTCAATAAGAACTAAGAACTAGATAAACCACGATGTGGATCCGAAAACAAACACAGGGTTCGTACGCAAATCAGAAGTCATTTAGTTTACTGCGTCGAGGTACAATAAGTTCTCAAGAGAGCTTCACCCGAAGAATGGAAGACACCCTGAGAGGTTCATTCTTCCCTAGGTCACATAAATAGCAGCCATATGTCTCTATTGTCCAACTATGGTAAACTATAACGCCAATTTTTACCAAAGTATCTAGGCTATACTCCCAAAAATAGAGCAATCCCAAAGGGTAGGATTTATGACTGATTTATTGATCAGGGAGGCCTATGACGGAAAAGAGGGCTTAGGATTGAACATCGCATCGTTGGTTGTAAAGTCATGGCAAAGTTTGGAAGAAACCACAAGAGTGCTCAAGAACAGAAACCTCCAACGGCAAAAACAAAGAAGTGATATATCGTGGAGAATGGGTTGCCGTGACTGAGGTTTGTGTGTTACCATTGATAGGGTAACATACAGTAGTCGAACAGCCAGCAACGATGTAGGCAGATGCAGATGGGCCCATTACCAGAGTACGAATTCTACCAACTAAATCCGTTCGTCCGCAAACAGAGAAACGGTCATCATCATCATAGACAGCATGACATCAGTATTCAACACTGATGCTTCGCTGCCGTACATGTGCAGTTCATGGTTGACCTGGGCTGGAACATTGCCAGGGCGCCCGCACCCAGAGAGGAGGACGATTAGGGTCCTCAACCAAAGTCTTTGGCTCCAAAGCGTGACCGCAAGGCAGCAGTGCTTGGCCGGAAATTCAAGTACATTACCATTCTTACGGAACACGTCGCCACACATGTTCCGACTCCCAATCTGGAGGGTCAGGGGACTGTGTTTGCCAGACCTCTAACCGGCGAGTGTCGCAAGTATGCCCCAGTCCCCCAGTATGGTTCAGTGGGTCGCTGATGTAAGGTCCAGTCTCTTGGCCACGAACAAACAGACGGTGCTGAGAGTTTGTCATCCAGATTAAATGAGTAACTCATGATTAGCTCAACTATATTTGCTGCTTGACGAGACTATGGATGTGGTCGCTGTATCAAGGAGAGGAAATCGCCGGGTGCTACGGTCGAGTCAAAGGAGCAGGTATCGACAGATTTGGGTGTCATGAATGTACGGTTGAGGATAAGAGGACAAAAAACGTTAACCCTATCTCTATAGACGCTTAAAAAGTTAATTAGTACTGGAGGCAGCAAGCAAACTAACTTTGCTAAATATGGTCACCACCCTCAGAACAAATAAAATTATGCTTTACAGATGTTCCAGTTCGGTCGCCTGTGTAAAGACACCACCACTATAATGAATGACCGTAGCTCCTTAATTTTTCGAATTAAGTTCATACTTAATTGAGCCTCCACCAACTGTGTATAAATCAGAAAAGTAGTCAGATGTGTTTTTCACTTAAGCGTGGGAATGTGTTGACGAATCGCGATGAGATCACCCCAGGATCTAGTACACTGCTCATAAGGTTGCTGAAAACTCCCGAAGTCTACGTCCGGTTTCACCATTCTTGGGGTTTATCAAGTAGGCGTCAACCTTATGTTCTACATGACCACAAATTGCACGAAATTAGCGCAGTGCAGTCGTTTGCACACCAACTCTTGAGCAATTCGGATCCCAATAGAACACAAGGTTGAGGAATTCGTGTACCTGATGAACCCCAAGAAGGTTGAAACCGGTCGTGGGCTGCCAAACAGTTTCAGCAACCTCATGAATAGTGTCGTACGTCTACACAATGTATTGCGACATCTTGAATATGGTACCAACTGAAACATGAGGCGGCCTATTGAAGCATATTCATTTGCTTAAGAACATAAACGAGATTCAAAAGGGTTCCAGGTGATTTTTCAATCAAGACCAAAATGGTGTGCAGATGAGTGTATAAGGCGATCAATTTAAATTACCAGAAAGGCTATTCCACTCGGTTACAACAATGAGCGGAAATCAGTTATGGTGAAGGCTGTGACAACACATCGCACGAGAGAGTTGTCTTCATCAGGCACGGAAAGAAACGCTTGTAACTCAATTTGATCAAGGCGAAACTCTTGCAGGTAGATGAACACGTCTGTCGGTAGCAATTCTGCTTGCATACAGTAGTCACCAAGCCGCATACTTGGTTAGCCCCATCCTCATACATAGAGATCCATCCGCCATCTTCGAGCTTGGTAAACAACAGAAAAACTGTCAGTTTTTGGCTCAAGAGACACTCACCTGAACTGCCGATCTTCCCAAGGAACTACAGGTCGAAACTTTTCTCCCGTCGCCATCTCCCACAGCAAGTGAGTTTGGGTTCACCAAACCAGTTCTAACTTCATGCGGTTTTTCTGATAGAAATGAATGGCGTTGAATGGCGGTGATCACCGAACGACGATATCTGAGGCTTCCACGGTTGGTTTGAACAGGCTCCGCCATGGCCTCTTCATACTTCTGTCGATGAGAAAAGTGGTACACTTCGGTCACGCATTACGTCACAACGTTGAATACTGGGTTGCCGCGAAAAATAGCTGGCCTAAAACTACTGCGTGCTGGGAAGGAATTGGCACATAAAGCAAAAACACTATAAAAAGAACTCGAAGTGTTCTATGGCGACAGGCGTTCTACCGGACCTAAAATGAAGACTAATATGAGATTATGTTAGTAAGTGGTTCATACCTCTTTCATGTCAATACGTACCTACTACGATCTGAGGATGTTAAAGAGTACACAATCTTTGGGGTTCTTATAGCTCGACTGAGCGCTTCATTTCGGGCACCTTAACGTGTAAAGTACAATAGGCCGAACAAACTCGAGGGTTTTCGCAAAAGATATCAGTCAAAACCGGTTAACAAGATGCTCAGATTTTCTCCAACAATCATTGGATGTTGGTGGCACTGATAGAGATGTCGCAATACAACCACAAACTAGAAATGTGCTACGTCTTTTTGATATACGGAGGTTCCGGAGGTAAGGACAGCAAAATGTTTCTTCAGTGACAACTTTTGGTTAGTTTTGTCCATCTACCGTGCTGTCTGACAGTGTAGGTTCCATTCGTTCTGGTAGAAAGTCGTGGTAGGTAAGCCCTATCGCTAACTGTACAGTAGTTCGTATCGAGGGGTAAATTGACAATTTAACATGTGAAAAAGTACCACGACAAAACTCCCTGAAATTGTCATGCTTGACTGGTTTGGTCAGCTATCCAGAGACCAAAATAATGGCAAACAATGATCCAGAGAAAATCTTTCATTAAAGAATGACTTGATTGCCACTCGCATAACTACCTCGAGGGCTGAATCCAAACTGGCTGTACTCCGCTGTCTCCCGTCTAACCGATTACGCTTTGAGAGCAACCTGCGCGACTCGTCAATCAGGCACGATATTTCGGATGGCCAAACCGCAGCTGAAGGGACTCGTTGGACCGGTGGATGGGCTACCAAAAGGGGCTGCTGTGTGTAGTGTAGTCCACCGGCTCGGTAGTCGGACTGTCGCGTAGGATTCGTCGGACCCCCATACTCGATGAACTGTTCGGACTGGTCCGTTTCACCTAAAGGCAACGACCCACTGTGACTCTGTATGAGGAAATTCACTGAGTCTTGAAGAGCTCGATAGCAATCATGGATGTCCGCCAAAGGATGGACAAAACTGGATGACGGATGGTCCTGCTTTACAACAGGTGAAGACGTGGGAACATATTCTCCTGGGACCTCCTGTCTGTTTGTACCGGATGGAACGGACAGCGAGGTTGAGGGAGAAGAGTCAGAAGTTGACGAACTTCGTTCAGGTCGCTTAAGAGCAACGGGGGCATAGCCTGGGCGAATGGGTGCTTGACGGAACATGGCATTATCCCTGGGAACTGAAAAGAGAAGCAGAAAAGTGACCACAGACGATCTTAGAACTATGTGTTCATAATACGGTCCTAGAATAAAAAAAGAAAACAAATGAACCAGTTCCGCAGATGGGATAACAGCAAACTGGCAAATGAGGATGAGCTCATTAGGGACCACGTGGAAAGCTGTCGACAACCATGAAACATCGTCAGCGTTACAGCTAACTCTGATGTCCATCAGGGACAATTTTTCCTCGCACTTCCATATACATTAGAAGACATTCCTTCTCACTTAAGAAAGAAATTTTCTTTCTATCAGTTTAGAACTTAACATTCTATACGTACATGGTTTTCATTGGTCTTCTGCTACGTTCCACTTGAGCCGGCTCTCGATGTGAGTGACAAAAGCCAGTTGGTCGATTAGGAATTGATGACCCTTTGGCTATTCTATCCGGAGCTGGTTTGGTGTTTTATTGGCGCGTAAGTCCATCATGGTTAAAAGTATAGTTTCACAGATTCCTCAGGCAACCATTTGCCACTGACCTCCTGATGTCGGTTAGTTTTACACTTCTGTGCTTCCAAGAAATCCAATGGGTGTAAAAAGCTCTATCTTTGATAAAGTATTCCGATTGTTCACAATGCTTAGGAGTCACTGACCAAAGTCAGTTTGCATCTTGTTGAACAATTGAGCGCCGTGAGGTGTACAGCGTGAAGGACAGCTACAACACAGTGTAGTCGGGTACAATGTTATAATCTGACGTTTCGGGTTCCAGGAACAACCTTTCTTTCGAAAGCTTTTCACGATCAGTCGGTTTTATAAATGGTAAGTCTCCTTTAGGGTCAATGAAAATTCTCCCGTGGTCCAGTACAGATTTGGATGGAAAAACTCGGTTAGCAAATCTCATTTTACATTCACTCTGCCGACACCCAACAGAGATTTAGCTTGACCTAGCTGATTGGTTCTCCGTCCGCCTTAAAAGCTCGACCAACCTCGCAACCTAGTCACTTGGCCTGATGAAGCTTTTGCGTCAAAAGCGAAACGTTGCCCAGCAATAAATCGACCGATTGTCGCCAAACGTTTTCGAAATGATTGAGAGCCGTTTCGAGCAGTGAAAGCCATCTAGAAGAAGAGTTTTCATGAGTGGGTATGTTAACAATCAACCTGGAATGTTCCACGCGATGTGTATAAGGCTACCAAATGACGAACAGGGAGACACAGTGAGAACGAAAAAGTGTTTGCGCACCGAGTTACACTTTCATTACCTCACCAACTGGTGTCATACACTACGAGGACAAGAGCACCTCACTGCCTGAGTGCGACTCGAACAGTATTTTCCAAATGTATTGAACCAAACCGATCGGACTCATCGGATGATAGAAAGCTAGATCTGAGACAATGAACATATGTTGAAAACACCATCTCACTGTTACAAAACAAAATAGATGAAAACATACCAGACGGCGCAGAAGTCGGCAACTGGACATTAAGTGGTGCGGCGTCACCACCACTGGGTTGCGTGGTTCCTACATACGTTGGCAGGCTGTCAGATGGCCTAGTGGACCGAGAGATGATAATATTGCTTTGTCGCTGACGCCAAGAGCCAGTCACGGGAGTATCATGATCAAGAGGGGTGGGAGTACCGGACATTCTTTGCAGCCGCGCTTCGAAGTCCTGAAATAAAAGTAAGATTGTTCTTTTTTTCATCAGAAGCCATCTAGCTGCGGTATTTTTGTGAGAGTATCTCTAACAGAAAAAGTTTGGTGACCGACATTTGGGCTGGTGTAGGCTAGAAGGAGGGAGGTAGGCTCCGAGGTTATATGCCCTAAGCACGATTCCGGCAGATGTGCAATGATAATCTCACGAAAAGGAGTTCAAAGAACAAATTAGGGCACACGATTCTGCAAAACGTATTTTCTCACCAGTCAATCAAGGAATAGTAAATGCTGTGCGAGGTTTACTAATTACCGGTACAAAACAGCGGTGATGGATGCATAGACTGTTTGGTGCACAAACTCGAACTGTTTGGCATCAAACAGGCTGGCTGCCGTATTTTGGCAACATCCAGTTGACGACGAAATGACCAAAATATGGGACTGATAACGCAGCTCCATAGTGAGTGATCAATTGGGATGATTTAATTCAGCAGTCATGCTCAAGTGTCTTGCTTTGTCAGTATACATACGACCTTGAAAGACAATTACATAGCCATTGGACCAACAGTCCGGCGCAAATGCCCGGCCCATAATTCAGCAAGTACGTTATGGACAAACTGTATGTGTTTTTGGTGAGTAATGGTGAAGTATGGGCTGTCATGGACATATACGTGACCCGATCACTTTCAAGGGGATTCACCTTGGCAGCGTCCATATTCTTCTGGAACGGACAGTGGCTTGAATGAGCAAGTACACTATCAGTCTTGACACTAATAGGGTAAATGGTCATTCTGGTTTGCTTAAAGAAAAGGAAATACCATTCATCTGTCTTTGGAGTACGGCGTCAATCCTATCAAACTAGTTTCTGGGAACAGACACACAAAACAGGCAAGTGAAAGACGTGGATGAACGATATTTAGGACCGTTTTTGACCAAAAACTTCATCGCGAGTTAGTTGAGGCACAGTAGGTATGGATCAAGAGGAAAGCATAGAGCGGGAGAGGTGGCATGGGGAGGGGAACGAAGGGTTGCGCCAACCTTCTGTCTTTTTAGAGCAGCAGAGTAGCATATGGTGAACAGATGTTCCCAGATAGCGCTGCTGTCCAAGAACACGCGATAAAAATATGTACTATATGGAGCAACTCTTTCTCAATCCAAATAAACTGACAAAACTTGGGGAACATAAACGCTGAATGGGGGTATGAGTGATAAAGGATTGGGATGTGCTCACATTGGTTTTAAAAATGACATCTTATGGACCAACTACGGTCATCAGATCAAAGCTTTCAGGCGTTATTTCATCCCTTCGGTCCACGACCGCTGCTCTGAAGAGAACAGAAGGGTTGAGGTAGTGCCAGGCCGATGAAACACAGCTAAAAAAATCTAAGGTCCACATTAAAGATCCCTTCGAAGTTATTGCGCAGCAACAAGTTACATTCTGACAAGAGTGAGCTTTTGTATTTTAACAAATAAACGGTAAGTCATGTGAAGTCATTTAACCAGTTCACACAGCTGAAAAGTATCCCAAACGGAACCAACTGCCGAGGAATGGCAACAGATGTCACCAACACGGGGACTTCGCCTGTTCCAGCAAAATTAAGAACTCCGGCATTGGGTTGTGTGTGAGGAAAGTAGCCGAGTCCGCACTTCATTTTGTTTGTACTGGGGTACTTCGTTTCGAAAACTCGCGAAAAAAGATATAGTCTACATGTTGATGCAACGTTCTTTCATGGCCTAGCTCACAGCTGACATACCTAAAAGGGAGTTAAAATTCAGCGAAGTTATTAAATGGCTAGAGGTTGGAAAGAATACTTGAGCGGACTAATTGAGGTTGTTCAAGGGAACAGTAGATAAGTACACGTAAACCCATTAATTTTTCGACTGAAATATTCGCGCGGAAGGTTGATCAAGATTATCTTCAACGTCCTCCGGATTTAGCAGCACCAAGAAAAATCTCACACTTGCAGAACGCAAGAAAAGCGGCCCAGCAAACGAAAGCTAAGTGAAGTGGGACAAACATACGGCGGGTGCCCTTATCAGCTGGGTCTCTGTCTCATTGATGGGATTTTCATTTGCCAATGATCTCGGCTTCCTTAGAGAATCCTCTTCCTAGCTGTCAACAGCTCTCCACACCTGGAAGCCTCGATTGACTGTACAAAGATTACGTTGCACGTTATAGGCAAAATACCAGTGAACATTGTGTGGCAAATTCCAAGGTACCTTAAGACGAAAAAATGTGGGCGCTACTGTGGGCGAGAGTGCGGTGCTTCGGATATCTGAAAACCTTTACTGAAGCCGTACACTCGGGGTTTCATCCACGACGCACATAAACGAAGGATGGACGGTTGTGTTGGCCTCGCTGCGATCCACTTAGCATGTTTGGTGAGGGCCTGGAACAGTCGTGCAGCAGATGCACGTAAACCGTGGATCAGGTGAACAAGACTACCCATTCTGTGAACGGTTTTCGCGGGTATTTATTGCCCATTGGACACATCGTCCTTTGCTTGCTTCAACAAAACCCGTTATTCGGGGATGAGGGCCACATCGGTCCATGGAAAACATTTGTACCAAGCCTGCAGGCTGGACTGGTCGCGAAGCCAGATGCACGTGTTGAAAATCGTCTAGCAAAAAGCAGTTGTTTTCGATAGATATTCTCACTGAACTAGGACGTAAGGCCGACAGACTGCGCCCACCTGATGATCCCCAAGAAGGGATGAAATTGATCGTGAGCTATCGAAGGGTTTTCAGCAACCTTATGAGCAGTGTAATGCATCTAGTAATGTTATTTTGCTGTGCGTCATTCCATTTTCTCTCAACTGAACTGTCGGCCGAGGTTTCCGATAGGTCGAACGTCAATGAGAAGTGTTGGACTGAATGCAGGGTCTTACAGTTTTACTGTTTTCCACTTCTTTTTCCATGAACAGTTTACAATCGATGGGTTCTGGCTGATTGCCTCACTCGATTGAGGGATAGTATTCGAATCCAAAAGTGCTCTAGCTAGCTGGAATATGAGTAGACGCAGGTCTGTCTGCTTTCCACACGAAAACAAATTAAACTGGATAACAAATGTTTATCCGTTTTGACAGTGAAGTGTCTGGGCTTGGTAAGCAATGAGGTTAATGGGCCTACTGCACAATCTACGGCAATTAATATTCTACTAGGAATGGTGTGTTGCATGCTGGGGTTGCATGACAGAGCAACGTCAACGCACCAACCATGGGTGTCTTAGCCACAACATTTGGAAGCGTTCGGAGTGGAGTAGAATGGAAGAAATACTCGCAAATCTGTTGTGATTTCATTCGCATTCTCAGTTCGGTAATAGGTGACTTGATTACCGGATAAAACCATGTTAGACTTACAGAAACGCTGAAAATGTACTGGAATGATGGTCGGGGCGAGAAACAGCGAGTGTACCTTGCATAATTGAGAAATAGCGCCTTTCAATTTCACTCTAGTGTTGGGTACAGGGTACAAGCATACGAGGGGAGCACCAAGCAGTCACTGAACTGTTCGGACGGATTAGCTGGTGGCAGCTAACTGTTAGATTGTCAGCCGCACTGAACTCGCCTAGACATGAAAATCATCAAAATAGTAAGCTGTGTCAAAACTGAGTCAATCTTCAGAAAATTACGGTTATACCTCAGATACTGCTACTTACTACCTAGACTGTACTAGTTCAGTAAAAGCATGGAGCCAAGTGCGTGCTAAAGAAGGAAGCGAGGTGTTTCTTGCAGCTCCTAATTTTTGCCAAGGTGTTTCGACCATCATAATACATCTGCCTGATTTTAACCGTTCATTCACGTTACATCCGCCTTCGTCGTCAAGATACTATCAATAATCCGCAAGTTTACACGGGACAATCCCCATCCCGACTCCTGCTTCAGAACTTCAGTGGGAAAGATCTTCCGGAAAGGAACATTCTCTGTGGCCCACGCCTGCGGATGGTCGCCAGCGACCTTGTGAACAAACTCTCAAAGACAGGACAATCCCAGGATGAGCGGAATACCATTTCCATCACAGTGATGATTTCGCTACTTCGGAAGGATAGAGATAAATATACACGATCGCTTCCTTACTAAACGGCATTCAGTTACCAACGATTACCCATGTGATAACTTAGTTTTAGCGGTGAGATATGGCTGCGAGGAATTCCACAACAGTTACAAACTAAACTGACGAACCAGCTAAACGACAAGACCAGTGGACTCCAGCCATACTTGTTGACGATTGCAGACAACAGGCCTTGAAGCACATCAACAAATGAAGATGAACTTTCAATGTTAGACAGTCATCATTGTCAGTAGCATCGACAGCAATACCATCGCCTTACCTATAACTTTTGGTTATTGTTTAGGACAGCATAATGTGAAGGGAACAAGAGGAGAAATAGAGACTAGCAGCAGTTGTTTTTCGATCGGGTAGATGTCGATCCGGTAATAGGCTTGCAATCGCTTCATCACATCATCATCCAACCGCGCACCCAACTGCACTACATGCTACAACTGTTTTGGCTCCAAAACGAAACCTATGTCCGTAAAACTGTTCGGCTTAGTTATTTCCCCATAGCTGTTTAACAAATATGCATCCCAGATATGTATTCATTTGGATATCTTTCACAGCCTGTCCAGTGTCATGTGCATGACAATGCATTCACAGGATGCCAACTGTGCAGCCAAAGTGATGAATACCAATCATTGAAACAGTGGGTACATCAACCATCAAACCGGACGGGCAGGTTGGCTTATCATGCGATTGCTCCGGTCCTGGGACAAACTACTAGACCCAATACGGCATTTGGGTCAGTTGGCCTTCCAGTTCACCGTTCAGGTAGTAATACCTCCGGTTTATTCCGTATTTAAAATAGATCGATTGCTCGACGATTCCTATGGCCAGTGAGTGAAAGAACGCACTGTCTCGGTCATGATAAGTACTGGCGCCGGACTAGATCAGGTTTGCAGGTCGCAGTTTGAGGAGTATAATGCGAGAAGTACGAGCGTGGTTCACCCACGGATTGCATCAAGACTGCATAGTGAGCCGGTGAAGGATGGAACTGGAGATTATCCGGATATGGAGCAAATACATTCCCACGATTCACTTGGGACAGTTTCCAGATGATCATTGTAAAAAGCTAAGCCACTCAGTGTCCAGTGTATTCAGAGTGAAACAACCCAAGGAGGTCCCGCTGAATATTCGAATGCGAGTTGACAGTCTACGGCGCGTCAGCAGGACCCAACCATTTGGATGGAGAACCAGGGACGAGATTGACTGATGCTTAGACATTGAAAAACAGAGCTGCAGTCAACAACGCTCCAGTTTCAAAATCACTGTCACCAATCCGTATCCCTTAAGAATCTAGTCTCAACAGAAGGCGGGTAGCATAGTTTTTGAAGCAGCACCAAAATTATTGTTACTCAGGAATGAGTGCCCGATTGTTACGCAGCTATTCTACCAGCTAATTAGACTAAAAAATCGACAGTTCACACATGTTCTACTTGTAATTTACGAAGAAAAGTGAACAGTCCTAGTTATCATCCATCCAAAGACCGCGCGGAATAAACGTGCCAAAGGCTCGTCCTCTCAAAAATGCTTACCGTTACCATGAATGTCGGTTACAAGAGGCTGTTCATGTGAAAATCTATTCTATGGAGTAAATCCTAACCTCGTTCAACTGAAGATGCGACGAAGGTTTTCAAACGATGTCTGACACAGAGGATCAGCCGCCGCAGTTCAGAGTGGGTAACATACAATGAGAATTGTTAAGATCATAAACGGTACTTTGGTGTGTTAGACACCATATATCATGTTTTCCAAAATGTAAAAGTGATACACGATTATTGGGATGCAAAGTTATCTGAAAAGGACACACTAAATTCAATGAACAACTTGGCAAAAAAGGTTAAAGGGAACAAAAAAGTCTGCTCACTTTTCGGAAGCTTGTAACTTTCTTAATAACGTGCATCCTGAACACATCACCAAAAATGACAACGATTTGAAATCGTTGTTCTGAAAGAATGACTTCATGTCATGGTTTGCGTAAAAACAGGACAAACAAACGGACACAGGGACCGGCCGTTTTGCTGCCTCACATCAGTAACCAATCAGCGTGAGGCACGAGCAAGCCCTATTGGCCAAAACTCTCCAGAGTCCCTTCGTTCGCTTCGCTAAGCAAGTCTGAACCGAGTCATCTGATGCATAGCACTTATGCTTAGTGAATGCACTTGGCACCGTACAACAGGCCTCTTACAAATTACGTCAAGCGCGCATCATGATAGCTTTGGCTGACGATCCTCGTTTGATCTGATTCGATCAACAGGATGTGGTCTTGAGACTTAGCTGATGAAGAAACCTACCGAATGTTGTTGACAGCCAGTCTGACTAGGAAGTTTTGGTTGAGTGGTTGATGTGGCACATTGTTTCCGCGTGCAATGCAGTGGAAAATCCGCGTCTAGTTTCAATCAGAATGTGGAACTTGTGGTAAAATTCCCCCATTCCTATTTGTTAGTTGCATACCCATCAGTCAATATGTTCAGCTGACAACTGAGGTCATTGAAACTTATCTATTTCGTTGGTGCATTGACCGATGTACTTTTCTGAAGCGCACATTAGTATGTGAAATAGGACTTTATGAGGTTGAACCGTTATCTACGACGATCCCTCCTAAGTGGTCGTTTCTCATAGGTTCTCCACTGTAGTTCTTATCCAGAGAATTACCTCTTGATACCAGGTGATCATCTTCCACTACTTGCTGAAACACTTTCCAAATGGAAGATACCGCGAGGCAAACGGGTGTCTTGGAGAAGAGAGTACCAGAGATCAACCACATCAATGTTTGGCGATCTCACGTAAACAGTGGTACTGTTGCATCTATCCACGACTCACACTTTACAATATTCGCTATCACCTGGTGGAGCGGCCTTGAATGCATACACAATTCACGAGTATCAAACTGAACTGAGACCAAAACCAATAGCAACAAAAAACAGAAAAGGCTCCAGACAGCTTTTGGAACACCCAACTTTTTAAAAAGGACCTCTCAAAGCGAGGTCCATTCGAGGAGAGGCCGTGCCGAGAGCAAAATGAGACCTATGCACCTTTCCAGCATCTACCAGCTGTATTGGTCATTTGCCGCATGTTGGCGATGATAAGAGTGGAAAAAAGGAAAACGGATGAAAATGAGAAAAAAACAAACGGACTGAATGTTCGCTATTCATTCGAAAGAACGCTCAAAGTGGAAAATAAAAATGTGACCGCTAATGAATGATTTCACGTAAAACAGTGAGTTAGTTTGCAAATGCAACGGGATTGATGCAGTTAGAAGTATGCAGCACGGTACAAACCCTACTTCCGAGACATTTTTACTCTGGATATGCGTTGGATAGTCTTTTATATCAGCCCCTTTTCTGTCAAAAGTGGCTTTGAATACCTCCAACCGCCTCGAAGGCTATGCCGTTAACTTTTCGACTTGCCCGCTGCATGTCCTATAGCAAACCAAATACCGACCAGAACAGTGCAGTGTGGCAGATTTAATCCCTGTTGACACGGTGACAGATTGATGAAACGCACCAGCACAGACGGGAGCTCAGAGGACAATTAGGCAATAAGCTGGAAGAAGAATGTATGAGGCCGAGCAAACTTGACAGAAAAATTCAGCCGCATCCTTCACTGGGATGGTGAGGCAAGAGCATCAAAGGGGGCGAAGCCGTTATTTTGGAATCCAGTGTGGCGCTAAGCTTCCGTTGAGTTCAATGGATTGGAGAATCTTGTGTCGCGTGAGGCAGGCAGAGTTACGTTTGCAGCCACAAAAAATTCCCAGTTGAACGGAAGAAAGCCTCACGTTAACGCGTGCACATACACACACACAACGTGACCTTCGATTACAAACCATTTATGACAAGGTAGTAATGCTACAAGGCCAAAACAAGACTGTGCCCAACAGGAAACAAAACACAAAGATTTATCTTTAAGAGAAAAGATTCACTAATCCCCATGAGCTTATCAGTTTGACTACTTGGAAATATCCACAGATTCGAGCAAGGGACACCACTGAGTTGACTATCCTATGAATAGAAGATATTTTCTCCTTAAGCAAAGCAATCGAGAGTTTATGACATCAATCGTTCACTGTATCCGACAGTAGGAAATCTACGGTGAAAATGAGTTGACAAATTGTACTTCTTCCTCGAGTGACCATCACATGACTGTAAAGGACGTGAGGATAGTACACTACGTCTCTGTTGATGTTTGGATTCAGATCCCAAAAACCATTGGATTAAAAATTTTATCCAGTGATACCGATAGGTGTTGGTTGTTGACCTGTTCGCCGAGCTTGGTAATTGGCTTGCAAACGTTTCGTCACCTTGCAAGCCAATTGCCAAGCTCGGCGAACAGATCAACAGCCATCTGGTCAACAACCAATGAACTCACCCGAGCTACCAATATTTCACCACATTACCAACCGATAGGTGTATTGAACCACTAGATGCGACAATCGTCAAATCGGGTAGCTAACAACTGGCTTTAACTTCAAGGACAATAGAGGGGCTAAGGTGCAATGGGCGAGATGGTTCAATTGGTTGGAGCGCGAATTTACTGACCGGAAGGTCCGTAGTTCGAACCCGACTTCTGTCTCTCGACTTTCCCTGTCTAGGCTTGGGCGACCTGGCAGTATCCCAGCCCTCGTGCTTCCTTCGGGCGGCATGGCAGCTAGGCACCGAAAGAGTGCTACAGCTACGCAAGAATAACTTACACGATCCGTGGAACAGAGAGCGCATTCAGACCACGCAGTTTGGAACGGAACACATCAAACATTAGTCAAGAACAAGGGATTTTCAGAAATCCTCTATAAAGATTGATTAACCATTAACCACACTGACAAGCGATAAGCAACTCGATCCTTTTCAGGAATTGGATGGAGCAATTTCGTAAATACCAGAACGCAACACTGCTTAATAGGCGAATCACATTGAATTCGTAGATTGGTAAACCTGAAAGCATGCCAACTTACTGTGCGAGACGAGTCAATTTCAATCGGTAGTTGTGAACATACAGGTTGAGGAAGCAGACGGAATGCATCCACATCTTCGTTTGCCATCAGTTTGGCTGTCCGTCCTGGAATGAACTTGTTTTGGTATTGGTCTACGACCTGTTGCATATGGGAAAGTTGACCATCAAATCCTGATGACCCTAGATCTTCCACGCATTCCTCGGTTTCCAGCACATCCCAGAGTACATCCTGACCATTATTCGCTGAGCACGCCTTCGTTGTTGTGGTGCAATCCTCTGATCTGGAACGAGCGAGAAGCGCGCGTCGCTCGGTTGGCGAAAGCAAATCTTCACGGCTTTGGACGATCGCTGGTAAATGTCCCTGTGCAGCGAGTGTCTCATCTACATCTAGGACGTAGGTGGCTGCACAGCTTGGAGCCAAGCTGGTTACCGATGCCCTGACGAGCATATCACCATCAAAGGCTTCCGAACAAGAAGTGAGTGGAGCGTCCGTTTGGTGAAGTTCCGTGTCATCTTTACAGACCTCGATCCACGAAGAGTTAGACGCATTCAGATGTCGCCCAGACGAGTCACCCAATGAATTATGACTATCCACGTTAATCGGAGGCCTAAATGAAGGACAGTGTCCAAAAGCAGCATTGGAGTGCTCCTCCATTGTATAAGATTTCTGAGCCTAAATCAAAAAGGGATACAACACCTCAGAGCTGACGAAAATATGCCTCAAAGTGCACAAAATTCTACATGAATTGATTTGGATAGGAGTTCATGCGGAATGATAAGTATCTTCGTTCGTGATTGACAAAAATTTCATCAAATGCATGTAATCAGGTGCAAATGACGCGAAATATATGGTGAACTATTCATGTCACAACTAAATTAAAAAACGACCGAGTTTTGTTAGTTTTATGGAGAAAAAATGGTGTTTAGCGTACGGAGTACCAGGATGTACATCTTTAGATGCAAACTGATCTACATTGCTCAAAGTTGAAACCAATGAGCTGACCAGATTGAAAAAGGAAATCTTTCAGCCACTTGTTGGATGATAATTAGCTAAACCGATAGGTCAAAGTGCCAGCGGTCATTGAACTCACTGAGTCCTCACCACAGTTCATTAGGATCACCAACATCAATACCTAGTAGGTTCTAGAACCAAGCCAAAAGGTATGTTCTGAAAAATAATTCACCAGCTCTCTGGACAAGGAAACCCTGTAAAGCTCAAGGACACAACGGACTGATTGCTGACAAACAGCCAACCCTCTTTCGAGATTCGAAAACCGCTCAAAACATTGAGGAACATTCTCGGTGTCTTGTAGAGCCGCAGCCGACCGGATCACAAACTATAAGGGTTTGCTAAGGATGTCAGTCTTTCATCACGGTTTTTATTCGCAACTACATGGTAGTAAGCAACTCCAGTCCTGGAGGCTTTTAGGGACCGTAAAGAATGATACCGGCTATCTGGCTCCAGCTATTTCGCGCAGTATCAAAACTTGTAGACCGTTTTTAATTATCTGGATGGTTAACAAATGACGACCACTGAATAGGCTCAGATAGAGAGACACCAGAATATAGGTGATACGAGCGAATGCTTCGGAGCGGAAGTGGAATAAAACGGGATAATACCGAAAAAAACAGAAGTTCGCCGTGGTGTGTATGTCAGAAAAGGGTCAGGGAAGCTGGTCACTATGCAAATTCAATTTACAATGTAAGTAACGAATGAAAATCTTGCAATGCGGGAGAAACGTAGATCGCCAGAGTGCGAAAACAACAATCAACTCAACAAGTCACTATAAACACAATCAGGTAACATCAATTTTCCAGTATCTTGTTTGGCCAGATTGGATACGCCGCTGAACGTAGGGTGTGGTCAGGTTTCCGGAAAGCTACACTACGAAACTGGAGATGACAGTAGAAGCACCGATACGGATGTACACGAGGTGAGGAGTACCACCAAAGAAAGAGTTGGACGACTGAGAGACAGGGCTTCAAAGGGACGGAAACGTGTCAAGTCCAGTCAATACGTAACCTAACATGCACCTGCCTCCGGAGCAAGTGATTGGTCAGGAATCGATCCACCCGGGCGTTCCGACGAGAAGACTGTTCTATTGTGACACAGTTGAAAAGCTTTTGATAGTCTGCCGCCAAATGAAGCACCAAGTGAAAATCAGGTGGAAATTATTCCGTCCCCTAAAGACCCTACACTGAGACATCCTTCATCTTCGTAGTCCGACACCATTCTTCCAGACCCCAGTCACTTTCGCGAAGTGCTATACTGGACTTTTGACGAAAGGATTTGGTTAAGCTGTCATATCTTTTGAGATCCCACTAAGAAAGTCACGTTCTCGCCAGCGTTTTCGGCATCATCCGAAGGAATACAGTGAAATCCTTTTCCATCGACCAAATGCATCATGAATACTCCATCCGGTAACAAAACTAGTGCAGTGCAGTTAGAAAATACCCCGATAGGGAGAAAACCCCTCAGATGGAAACAAACTGTCTCCTAAAGCGCATTTATTGGTTAAACATGAAAGGCTCCTTCATAATTGCGCACAAAACTCGGGATCTCGATCCCAACAGCTGTCCAAATGGAGCCAATTGAGGAGTCAGCAGAACAAATTGGGGGACATGCTACTGACGGAGAAGAATAACGTGATCCATCAACACGGATATGAGGAATAAAACTGAAGAAATAGGTTCACCACCACCGTCGTTTTATTGCTGCATATGGATTCAATTATTAATCTAGGAACATGAAGCTTAAACGGGACATATCGTACATCATCATCATCATCATGGACAGCAGGACATCAGTGTTCAACACTGAAGCTTCGCTTTGAAAGTCATACTGTGAAGGAAGAAATAAAAGTGCTACTCTACCATAATTAATTCGACGTGACCATACCTCCAGACAGGTAATCTGGACACAAACTGACAAGAGGAGCGTCAATAAAATCGGCTGGCAAACATATCTTGCAGTGACTGGAACCAGGTGGATGAAACAAATTGTGAACTTAGTAAGTTCTTTGTATTCTTAGACATTGGGGTGTGTGTGAGAGTATACAGAGAGCCCTCCGAAAGCTTCCGCACACAAAATGGTGTTCGCAAGTGTACCGAACCTCTTCATTCCTATTTACTTTCGTGACCGATGAGATGAACGCTGGAAGGCCTTCAAAACCCCGGTGTTCAACTAGCCTGTGACAATAACCTTGTCGATCTGGAATATGCAGACGACATCGTTCTCGTTTTCGAATAGAAGGAGAGGGCGTAGGTGTCTTTGGATGAACTGACCTGTCCTTTGGTACGCACTTTGAACCCACAAAGGGTAAGGTCACGCTCGTGGGCACGCAGTCACTGAAAACGCCACTAACAATCAGGAGAGAGGTAATTTAATTTGCGGAACGTTATCCTGGAATCTGAATCAATTCTGATTTCGGTGTGATAGATGAGGTCAATGCACGCGTCCACATGGCTCGCGTCACGTTAGCTAATTTGAGACACCTATGGCACCAAAGTGGTATATCCCTGAATCTCAAGGGACGTATGCATCAGACTACAGTATGGGTTGTTTTGTTGTATGGCTCTGGGACTTGGCCTGTTCGAGCAGCGGAAGTGAAACGTCTTCAGGTGATCGGCAATCATTGTCTCAGAACCACAGCTCGTGTGAGTTGGCGAATCCGTAACGAGGCAGTTAAAAAGCGAGTTTCCGGTTAAGCAACGGGGACTTCCAATGAAGAATGTGTCCTGCACCAGAAGCTGAGTTGGTTAAGCGGAGTACAGCGCATGCCGAACCATCGTTTAAACTACGTTTGAAATTGCTACAGGCATTATTCAGTAACTGTTGCATCGATCTGAACGACCCTTTGCCTCTAATCAAGATGATAAACGATATAGAGAAAAGAAACCGAAGACAGTGTGTTTGCTCTAGTATCAACCATAAGGGAACATCTGGAAGTTTTGAAAACCCAACTGTAAACATGATGGCAACACAAGATACGACTGAGGAAACATGATTCGGATACACGTGAATCTAGATCGTATCCCTTTCACGAGTCCAGGAAATGCAATCGGGATGCTGCGCGATGACAGGTATTGATGGGAAGGAAGAAAGTTATTGGAAAGTGGCAACAACAGGCTGATAAGGTGAATTTTGATTAATTGCAAGAACACACAGACCTCCTTCCGATATCTTATTGGAAACTGCCAAAACAATCTAACGTAGGAAACGTAACCAAGTCGTGACCCGAATTTCTCTGAAATAAGACAGCCGATAAATCGAGCCTCTTCCCCAAAAATCAAGTAAGCCCTATGAAACAAGAACAGGGAGTACTTGAAACGCCATTTCACGTCTATATATCTCCAGGTAATTTGGTTCCCGAGGGTAGACGGCGATGCGCTTATTACTCAGAGTCGTTTACATCTACCCATGGAGCAGGACCAGATACGGGCGCAGCCGGACGAAATTTTGGCCATCACACAGGTCATAAAAAATCCTTGGTGACGAATGGTATTCGAAAAGCCGCTCGTTCTTCAAATTAGCGACCAATTCGACTTCAGCGTACCATGGAGGGTTCGATGACAACTTGGCGCAGGGCAATAAGCGATATGTTATTGAACAGGCACCACAACAGTATACCCGAGCACGGGATTTACACTGGCCCTCTTGTGATTGAATTATGTGTGGGTCTATTCGAGGCAGTCTCTCGGATAGAACACGAATCACCGATGGCTCTGATCAAGTAAAAAGAGCGAGCAGCAATAGTTTTGCAATGCCTTAACCGAGTGTCAGCACAATCTAAAGTGGAATTGTCGAAATCCAGAGCTGTTCAAGAAGAGTCAGTTTGTTTTCCCAATTCCTACACTTCTCCTAAGATGTTTGGATTGCCTACTTTGAAAATCAAGGTCAACCTATGATGACGCTGAAGTATTCAGCGGTGAAGCAGGTGTATAAATGACACTGTGGCCGCTATTAGGTTCGCCGAGAGTGAACAACTGCAAGCTACGGGAGGAACACCAATGTCTCAGATGCAGTATACATTGTTGGAAGGTTTTATGTGATTCCATAAGCAAGGTGACCCACGATACCTTTGACGACACATCGAAGACAGGTGGTTGTTAATCGTCTCCATCTCCAACAAAGTTCCACAGACAGGTCGTGTTCCCGCTATCCATAATGCTCAATAAGACACAATCGAGTGGACAGTATTCGCTGAAATCAGCCAAAACCTTCCCAACCTAATCAAGTGAATCTGAAAATAGTAATCAGCTCTTCATTCCCCATGGTGGATCAACAGCAAATTGAGAGGAGGGAAACCTACCCGTTCCTGTATTTTCGCGTGGGTCACCGGTTCCATTGATGCTTTTCCTACCGACCGTGGACGCTGGTCAATGGAGGGTATGGACATTTGTTGGTAATCTGTCTCTCGTCTATGACTCCTTGCGACATCGAACATCTCAACCGGACTTCCACGCGGAGTGAGTGAATCCGGTTCTGTAATGCTGGGCAGGCGAGGAACGCTACCAACCTGGGCAGAAATGTCAGAAGCGAAGTTTCCAAGCAGACCCTTACTGGCCAGCGTCTCGCTTGCATCAAGAATATAGGTTCCTGCACAGCTTGGAGCGAGGCTTGTGATGGAACTGCTCACGAGCATAGAGCTACTCAATGGGTCTGCCGTAGATTCAGGCAAACAATCTTCCATGGCCGACTTAAACAACCGCCGCTGTTGTACTGGTGAAGTCGAAGAAAGCATGGGTGTGGTTGCTTTAGGATCCACTACCGAAACATTCTCGCTGCATGAGTTATTTTGAAGAGGGGCAGCTTGACCGGTTGTCGACGATGGAGACTGTTGGGTAAGATCGGGCTAAAGGACAAAACCAAAGTGCACAGAAGGTAACAGATAAGTTCATTAGTCCAGCCACTGCGAAAATATGGGTTCACTTTGGTACAAATTGGCACTCACAAAAACTGGGCAGGCCTTACTGCAATGAGACAGGCCGATGCACTGTACGGTGTACATGTATTCGTCTAGCTTGAAGAATTCCATGAAAATTGGGTATTATCGCACAGATATCAATACTCAAACTAGTTTCCGCAGGTAGTCATGAGGTCAACTTGGGATCAAAGGAAGTGAACTCAACTAAAATGTTCCTACGTCACACTGTCATGTTACTTGCCAGTTACGAAAACCAATTTTTCATTGCAGTCTTTGCCACACTGACCACAATCAACAGCCCGTTCTTTTTCAAGAAGCAGCAAGCAATTCCCACATAGCTGATGGCTTGCAACAGGGCGCTAATTAACTATTGATAAGTGACTCTTGAGGAGCATGCAAACAGGACAGGAGTGGGACAGGAAGAACACTCTCTCACTCAGTCAGAATTATATAAAAAAAACGGCTAAACGAATAGGTCGCTGTGAGTATGGGGAGAACATTGACAAAATGGATGAAAACGATGTACAGGTTTTGTTCTTCCGGATTGAAAGATGTTTCTATTTAACCTATTGTTTTCTTCCAAATTATGTCGTGGTCTCACATATCTGCGATGAGGATAAGTTGAGAGGAGGTAGTCTCAAATTCGGCGAGCATGTTATGAAGCTTCGTGAGCAACAGACTTTGAACCAAATAAGAGGCCAAATCCGATCCACGTAAATGGCTGGCGGAGGTCTAGGGACCAAACACACACACACGACACATTGTAGGTATAAGATTGAAACCCATTTTCCGTCGGCGACTATTTTAACACCAAGTACGTAGATGTTACGCACTGGCAGTTGAGTGCCTTTTAAATCGTTTAGCTGCTCGGACCTTCATAGTCCACGGCTGAATCCATAAGCATCAAAATGGCAGCTGTAGTGGGCAACCCTGCTGATTTCATTCCCCATGCAGGAGGTATCAGTCGACAGTCTTTGCCAATAGCACGTTTCTGCTTTGTTCCGCTGTTTCCGTGTAATTTAGCTTCGAGAGGCGATAACCAACAAAAGAGTGACTGCCTCAGATAATAATAACGATAATGATGACATTTGGTATTTATGGCAAATACCCTTTGTGGCGTCCTAGGAATTTTTTCTTAAATACAGGCATCTGACTGCAGAATTATTTTGTGTTTCATTCAGAAGGTATTGTATATTGACAGGGTGCTTATTGGAAGGGGTTGCTGTGTTTCAAACAGCTGGCAACAAGCTAAGTATGCTTTCATATGTGAGCTAAAGTACATGCACGAGGAATTCCTCTTTCTACACGAAAATGTTGTGATCGGTATGACGCCAATTTCATCGTAAATACGGAAGGAAATCCTGTGGAGGAAAATCATGCTGGTATTCTGGCGGGAAGCCTTCAGGGAACTCTCAAATGGATTGTACTTTGGCTACTCATGAGTAGCACAGAGTTTAGATAGGGATGAGATCAGAGGGCGGTGGAGAGCATTAGGTGTGGTGTTCTCCTCTCGAGAGACGTCCCGCTGGTAAAGATGCGTCCGAAATTTAAACGTGACAAAATGAATAACCAGTTTCTCTGTCGAAATACCTGACCGTTCCGTAGATCCTTCGGTATTCCGTTTATATTGCTTTTATTTTCCCACTTTGCGTAAGGTTAGGATATACGCTCGGATGGGCACATTATGGGAAAAAAACCCGACTTTTATCTAATTCACTGAATACGTTTTTCTTAACGCCGGTCTTTATCGACCGTTTTCCGAATGGATATTTTCCGCAAAAGATCTTCACCCTCCTCCATTTGTGCGTGATGAGTGAACACAATTTTATTGTATTCTATGGAGGGAAACGTTGGTAGCTCAGGTAGCGTAGATAGTAGTTGACTAGTTCGCTGAGCTGGGCAATTTGATTGTAAACGTTCTGTCACCAATCTAGGTGACATCATCACCTCGCGTGGTGATGAAACCTTTGCAATCGAATCGTCCAGTCCAGCGAACAAGCAAACTGTCACAATTTGATTTTAAGCGCTAAGTTCGAATCCAACGATAATCACTGTGACCTACATAGTCAACTCATCCATATTACGGTGGAATGTGTACCTAACAATCGAAGGGGTCTAGAACTGAGCGAAAATTTGCGATAGATCCGCTGATTGATTACCAAATTCTCCTGAAGCCATATGGGCAAAATCTTCGAAATACTAGAGCATAGAGGAATTCATTGATTCACATATGCAATGCTATACACAACATATGCAGCGGATCCCCCAGAATGCGGAGGATGTCAAACGAGTGCATGAACGGATGGTTGAAAACCGCAGACGGGGACAGCTGAGGAAAGTAGGCAACGATTTACGCAGAACCAACCAGAATCACATGAAACGTGTACAGACATCGACCATGAGCTGTACGGCAAGTTTGTTTGAGTAAACGATGAGTGAGTGCATGCACCCTTCAAGTAAAGGTGGCGATAAAGAATGCCGAAAAGGGTAATGAAAAATAACTACTGAAGTATATGGTTAAATGTATGGATTTGAAGTGCATACGCAAATAAGTTTGAAAGATATGAGTTTATGACATTCCTGTAGTGAATCAATCGTCTTACGTCACGGTCTCAAAACACAAAGTATTAAAGGTGGGTACAAAACGCTGAATAATCAATCACCCTCCCGAGTGACCGTCATTATAGAGCGGAGCGAACCGGTCAGTTCGCTACTTGAGTTAGTCGGTGTCACAGTAGATAAAGCACTTGACCTAGTTAACCCCGTGTCAAATGGTGTAGCGTCTTACGCCGCCGTGATTGACGCGACAGAACAACTTATCACTTGGCTCTATGGGTATGCACATAGATCTCAAATCAACCTCGTTCACATTAGACCGGATGCTTATTGTAGTTTAAGGCAACTACACCCCTAGAACAAAAAGTGGACAAAGCCAGTAACACGACGGATGCTGACACCTACTGAGATACATTCTGGTTGGGATGGATGCACAATAACTTACTTCTGCATCATCATCATCATCATCAACAGCATGACATCAGTCTTCAACACCAATGCTTCACTGCCGTACAACCATGACTTATTTGAAAGCCTTATTGTGAAGAAAAGAATAAAGGTGGACGGGGGAGGGACTTAGTGCTAGCTTAACACAATCATTCCGAGGTGCCTACACCTCCAGACATTCAATCAGGCAATCTGGATAGCTTCAATGCCGTACAACCATGATTTATTTGAAAGTCTTACTGTAAAGAAAAGAGAAAAGGTGGGCGGGGAAGAGACTTAGTGCTAGCTTACCACAATCATTCCGAGGTGCCTAGACCTCCAGACATTCACTCAGGCAATCTGAAAAGAAACTGGCAACAAGAACGCCACTGACATCGGTTGGCAGCCATACCTTGTAGTGTCTCCAACCAGGCACAGTGAGGATCACGCGGTCCCCAGCCTGGAAGGCGAGTAGCTCCGACAGCACCCAAGCGTCTCGTGATCTCCTTCATACTCCTCCGCCAAGTCAAGGGTTGGCCACCTCTCTGTTTACGCCACTTTGAGTTGGGCATGGAAAACAGTACTCTCTTCGGCAAACGATGGTTCGGCGTACGTAACACATGTCCCGACCAACGCAGCTTCTGGTGCTGGGCACATTCTCCAATGGAAGTGCCCGTTACACAACCAAAAACGCGCTTTCTGACTGCCTCGTTATGGATTCGCCGACACCAACTCACACGAGCTATGGTGTTGAGACAACAATTGTCGAACACCTGATAATCGTTGTCTCTGACGTAATATTTTGCTTACCATAGAAATGGAGATGAAATTTCCCTCATGGAAACCGCTTAAGAAAGCCTAATAAAACACATACCGGTAAAAAGCACGAGCAAGCAACCAGTGATCTGATTCCTTGCGTAGTACTGACTGTACAGTGATTTCTATTTCACCAGGGTACCAGACAAAAGCCCATTCTTCGTAAATCTCGGTATTAGAGTTACACGAAAAAACTTAAAATGGGTGGGTCATGTGAATCTATTGGGTGGAGAATGAGACCAGATAACTAACTGCCGGACGGTTAGGCGTTCATACGACACTGACCACCGTGCTCGTTGATGACATTCACCTGGCTAGCCAGTACACCTGAAGTTAGCATAGAAGCTGCCAGCGTCACGTGAAGTGGAGCGAACGTGTAAAGCCACTAAGCATGAGACTAGCTACTTAAAAAATGAGCCAACTCGGTTGTAGTTTGGAGCAACTAAGGCTCTTCCCCAATTATCGTGAACATTCATTCCGTGTTTTCATAGAACAGTCATTTAAGGGTAAATCCGGAAAGAGAAGAGAGGACAGCAGGATGCCTAAGTTTCGATAATTTTATTTGCATCCGGACCATTCGAACGTGAGTGCGTCTGTCTGTAAAAATTATGTTTTCCGAAAAAAGACCAAAAGTAAATGCAGTGAGGCAGCTGTTTGTGGCTAGGGATATGAACGGAGAGAATTTATTGCTTTCATTCGAAACTAACAGAGGTACCACTGAAGGGCATCGAAAAAATTGGGGAAAACGCAATGCAACCTGTTACTAAAAACGAAAATGACTTATGATTGAACACTTGATAGTTTGTCCATCGAGCATTTCACCTACTGTAAATGACAGCAAAGCAGCCGAAACTGTGAGGATTCCGCTGCTGGATGCGCAATTGTGGGAAGCAGATTTGCTCACAGGGACGGAATACTATGCGCATATGACGCTGTGCATAAACAAGAAATCGAAAGAAGCTGGTTGCAGATCATTCCATTCTATCATTAATTAAGATCATGTGAGAACTGAACAGTGAATGAACTGATAAACTGGTTGCGCGATCGAAGATCTCCCGAGCGAACAAGATTTCTTCTTGTTATTGATTGCCAAACTATACATTGGGAAGAAAACGGGGATGGCAAGTATC